CTGCAACCAGTTACAGGGTGCTGTTATAACTCGTGTTATTAAAATCTGATACTTTGTGCAATCTGTGCAGCACCTGCGGCTATCAGATAGGAGACTTGCATGCATGACTAAACAGTCTGTCTTATCTGTAGTAGCTAAAGAACGATGGAAGGATAGGGCAGGTTTCCTCGATTTCAAGAGGATATTTGGAGTTTCTGTGCTGGGGGCCTGGGGTACTAAGGGTAACTAGGCCATCTGCAGGGCTTAGGATCCCCTATCCAATATGCAGCAGTCTGCTCTGATTCCGACTGCCCAGTCAAGGGAAAAGAGAAAAGTGTGCGGCAAGAAAATGAAGGACTTTTTAAGATCTAGGTCATTATGATTTCAACATTTTCATTTTTTAACATTCATCTGGACATGGCATACTGGTGGCTCCAACTAAGCAGTTCACTGGAAATTATTATCACTGTTTCCAGGAGTCATGTGACACCATTAAGCTGCAACCAGCACTTGCATCTGTGCCAGTGTGTGAGGTGAAGGAAACCACAGGGAGTGTCCATGTTGAGCACTGATGAGGTCATCCTTGTTTAAATGAAGTTGTCAGTCTTCTTTTCTTTTTTCTTTTTTTTACTCTTTACATAGCTTAAAAAAATCCAGGTCACTTACATGAGCTACGTAGTGTTAGTGGTCGACTGTTGTCTAGCCTTTTCTGTTGCTTTAGAGGAAAACTTTCAGTGAAATAACCCTGATGTCTGTATCCTGGCAGAAAAAAAAAGACGCAGTTCTTTTGTTTCTGATGGTGCATATGGGGATTTTTATATGTGGGTTAGATTCCTCGGAGCTATGATCTGGAACAGTGAGCCTGGAGTGGACGGTGCTGGCGTGGGCTGGAGAGGTGAAGGGAGCGCCCCGCCTCTTTGACCCGGGAAAAAGAGTCTCAAATCTGCCTTGCTGACTCTCTAATTCATAAACTATTTTGAATTTGAAAGGGACATACGTGAACATTTGTATTTCTATGACTCTAGTGTTGTGTATTTACCTCCAAGTGTCATTTTCTTTCTTCGTTTCACTAAAACTACGTATGAACGTTGTAGTGAAAGCAAGCGGGAAAGTATGTGTGTGTGTGTAAAAGTGTTAGGGAGTAAGACAGGAAGCAGCTAGGGGCCCACTCTCAGCCACAAAGTAGTAGAGTAGTGAACTGAAAGGAGTCACGGGGGGAAAGTGGATTACTTCAATGTTTGTATGTGTTTGTGTATAAAGTCGTGTGTAGCTAAAACACCCAACAGCCCGCCAATGTGGAAAAAAAAATGTGTGACATACAGCTCATATATGACTGATATATTTACACTTTATGTGTGATGTTGTAAACTTCCTCCTCAGGGAGCCCACAGTGAAAACTCATCATGATCTTGCATGTTGCATCTCTGTGATAACAACTGAAAAACTGCTAATTTTTTCTTGAGAGTGAACAAAGGGAGATGAACGCATGCTTACACAGGGCATGAGTTTATTTATTTGCCTTTATTTTTTATCACTACTTCTGTAATATTTCCTGAAAAGAGACGAGTAGCTTGTGGCTGAGCTGGAGAAGCCACAATAGAAAAAGAATCACAGCATGAAAAAACATCATATATGTCCGTGGTCATGATGTCATGCTGTGCTTAAGGCCTCGTGCTGGTGACAATCATGTGTACAATGATGTAACAAAAGGTCGTGACTCTGCTGCAGGCCGACCTGGGGCACAGTGAGATACCTCAACTTAATCCCCTGTTTTGATCCAACAACTTGTGACTTGAAATGCTGCGGGGACGGCCCTCGTTTTCACAAATACCTATGGAACGATTAGATGTGTGATTTAAAAGAGACTTCTGAGACTTCTTAATATAGTTGTATTGTTTTTTCATTGTATGCTTATGGTCGAATACACCTTTAAGAATATCCGATCTGAATTTTTTTTTTTTTAAGTATCCAAAACTTTATCCAAAAAAAATGCGCGGGAAAACAGTAAAAAAAAAAAGCACATGGCAGCACAGAGTGCAGACAAGTTAAAAATAGTTGACCCACTTTTGTAGGGAAAGCCCAAGTGCCCTGCAACTTCATCGCACTGCGCCATCTGGTGTTTTAAAGAAGCTACAACTTTTGGATATTAAAGTTATAAAGGCTCACAAAATGTCAGCTCTGTTTTATAAGTCTCGGTTCCTGAAGATAATGTGTGCTCACGGCTCCCTCTGCTGGTGATTTTGTCTGGCTGCAGCTTTAAAGTGCTTCACAGAAAGTAGGAAAAATGATGACAGTGAGTGCTTATTCGAAATGTTTTTAAAGGGTTTTAGAGATAGAAATGTACAAATGTGTCAAAAAAGTAACTAAATAAATAAAAACTAAATCCCTTCAATGGATAAGTGGTTCTTGGGTTTAAAAAAAAAAGTGTGATGATTGAGTCAGTGGGATCTATAAGATGACCTCATGGATCAGTTCAAATGTTTGTCGTCATGTGAAACAGACTCAGCCACGCCTGCTGAATCATCAAAACACAATAAACACTGTATTTTACTTAATTTATCTAACACTCTATTTTAACACTCTATTTACACTTCATTTATTTCCCTGTTAATTGTTTAGCACCAATACACCAAGTCAAATTCCTTGTATGTGTAAATATACTTGGCAATAAACCCCGATTCTGATTCTGATAAGACCTCTCTCAGGGGCTGTTTAAACAAGGACCTAATAAAAAATAGAAAAAGTGTCTTGTTTTCTTATTTCAGTCCCCTATTATTGATCATTTTCACACAAAAATACTTTATCCTACATTTACCATATGCAGTATGGCACCACAGTGCTCACAATGTTTTTAAACGTCACACTCACATTTTATTATGATTGTATGATTCTTGTATTTTTAATTGTTAATCATGTTTGTTATCCCTTTCTTCTTTTCATCTTTGTTTCATTTGTTTCAGCTTGGAAATTTCTTTTTGTTTCAACAATGTTTCAACAAGGTTCGCAAAATCATTTTTAGTGTAAAGGTCCATCAAAAAGTGTCACAAGTCACCCAAATATACTGATGTGGCAGCAGCTCAGTCTGTAGGGACTCGGGTTGGGAATGAGGTTCCGGGTCACTTCCTGAGTATATACTGCCGAGGTCTCCTTGAGCAAGGCACTGAACCTCCAACAGCTCTAGTACTCTCTCTGTGTAGCAGCCCCACTCTGACACCAGTCCAGAGGACACCTATGGGTGTGTTTATATGACTACTTTGTGAACTTACCATTTGTCCTTCTCTTTATGATGTTTTTCATAATCAACAAATTGATTTGTTCTTGGTTTCAATTCTGCTTTGGGTGTTTTCAGCTGCTAGTTTTGTTGTCCAGTGACTTTATGTATGAGTAGTTCATGTGCTTCCAATTTAAAAAAAAAATGTATAATCTACTTTTTGGAGCTTAATATTTTACCTTCAATCCAACCATTTGCTCTTACTGCCAGGTTCTCCTTAGGCGGTAATATAAAAAACTGTGCTGCAGTGACATTGACCCTCAGAACAGCTGATCGGCATGACGATCATGTCAATAAAGAAATCTATACAGCTCCACCCTCTGTCTTCACTGCTTCACTCTGTTGCTGTAATAACTTTTGGAACGCACTTCCACACCTCTGCGCTGGCACAGCTCGTCCCCAGGTTCTGTCACATTCCTGGGAACATGTCGGGACAGGGTGTTCGCCTGAAACCAAAGGGAAGCGTTCTGCTTTCTATCTGCAGAGCCAAAGAGAGGAATGTCATGTTTCCACTTCAAGTACAGGATGACATGATTCTCAGAAACGTCTGGCAATCCTTTGAGCAGAAAAAACTCTGTCGGAGCTTGTGAAAGCAAGATTTTCTTAACTCCTAACCGATCTTGTAAAGCTAATATTCAAGATGAACAAATATGATGCAAACACAGGAGCTGAAAATATGTTCCCACCTGTATCCTCTTTTCATTTCTCCCAACCACAGCTCCATTTTCAGATTTCCTGCCATATGTGTGGTGGCATATCCACTCAGTGCAGATCACTTGTCCACCAATCGCTCTGGTTCTAATTGAGCCTTTTAAAAGGGCCATTGCTGACAGATGTTGATCATTGGTGGAGCAAAGATGAGTCTCTGTATAAAATGTCACAAAGAGAACGATGTAGACTTGCAGCTCTTCTTTTCATATTTCTTGATTTGTTTGTTGCCTATATCCAGATGAAGTGTAGGCCGTCTGACTCTGAGTCCGGTTCTATACTGGAGGTCTCTGCCTGTTAGAAGAAAGTTTAACTTTGCCATTTTATTTGCTCATTGGTGGATTGAAGTTGTGCTTCTGTAAATACCATTACAAAGAGAATATTTTAGACCTACGGTTCAGCTTTCATATTTCCTTCCATATGTAAAATATAAAGACTAGCTGTCCATGACGAGTTAAGAGAAAGTTTCTCCTTGTTGATTGCCCATGCTGGATGTCGGGTCTCTGTATAACATATTACAAAAAAGAACATTCTAGACATGTGCTGCATTTCCAGTTGAGCAGATAGATGGTTGCCTATATAAGTCTAATGTTTAAAAAGAAGTAGTTGGGGTTTGCTCTTGTGGATTAATGTTGGGTCTCTTTTCATTCATACTCCAACCAGTACGGTCTAGATCTTTTTAAAGTTTCTTGTGATAAGTTCTTGTTGTAATTTGGCGCTCTATAAACTTACACTCTAACTTCAATGAAGTCCAGTTGCCTTTTGCATCAAGAGTTGAGTTTTCCTATTTTACTTGTTTTCAATCCTGCATTGCCAGTTTCAGCCTCTCTCTCTCTCTCTCGCCTCTTTTTTTCTCTTTGTCACTGGATGTCGATTAACCAGTCATGGCAGTGACATGTGGAATTTTTCATTACCTCGCCCTGGGGGCACCATGCTGTCTGTGCCTGTGTATCGTGCTGTTATTTTTTTTCCACCCCTGCCTTTACACTCCCATTCTCTCTCTTTCTCTTTCTCTCTCTCTCTCTCTCTCTCTCTGGTATTATTGTGAGTCAGACCGGGCGTGTGGAGCTGTGGTGTGTTGTTTGTTGTCCGGCAGCTGTATGGGGCAGTGGTAGCTGTCATAGATTGATTTTCCTCTCCATGGCCGGTCGTCCCTCTGGCTCCTACACTGTGGTTATCATCCCCCTCAGGACCAGCCTGTACAGCCTGGACGCACTGCGCTTCTACCTATGGGTGAGGAGAGAGCTGGTGTGTGTGTGTGTGTGTGTGTGTATGTGTGTGTGTGTGTGTGTGTGTGTGTGTGGGGGGGGGGGGGGGTGATCCTAATCAGTTACCTGGGAGTAAGTTTCTCATAAAGTAGTGGTTCTTATCAGCTATCATGCATAGTCACATGTTTTCAGCACAAGAGGATTTATGACCTATACTGTACATGTTGTTATCGTGTAGGTTTCAAAGCTGTGCAGAGCTGTACATGTTAAGATAAAAAAATAAAGAGGCAGCACCTCAGTAATGTAAATGATAACATACATGTATGCCTTCACTGTCTCTCCAGTCTATTACAAAGTCTCCAGTTTTTTTAGTACATTTAGATGACCTCATCTGTCCTGTTTAAATATATACAGAGGTTTTTAAATATCAATTTGGTCTAAGGCTCCATTAACACTATACAGGAGTTGTGCTAAATGACAGGAGTCTTATCAATGTTAACACATGTATAGCTACAAACACACAAGGAGAAGCAGCTTTCATAATTCTAAACATGCTCCCTATATGAATTGTATTACGATAACTTATGCTACATAGAGACTGTGTCAAAGGTGTTGTTGCCATCAGTGCTGTCCCTTCAATTCACAGCCAACATTTCACCATTACATTTAGTAAATTATTAGAACTTTACTGGTCCAGGCTTATTTCAAATTGTATTTTTTTCCCCCACAAATTTAATTTACCATTTGAAAATGTAAATTCTGTTTGCTGGCTTATTTGGTCTTTAAACAGGACATTTACCTCAAAGCTCCTGTGAGGAGTTTTAGGTGATAGGTGTCAGACACTTTTTTAAAAATTTTCCATGGAAAAGCTTCTCCACAAGTGAGACATCAAAAGTACGTCAAAAAAAAAAGGATGACAATTTAGAGGTACGGCTTCGTCAACAGAGGTTGCCATGGTCGACATTTACCCAAAGTTCTGTCTTGACACAGCTACAGACATCCCGGTGACACATTCCCACATGTCAAGTCTGCTCCTCACAGCTTCCTGTTAAATGATTAATATAGAAAAAAAACTCCACTCACAGAAAATCTATTACTGTACAGGAGTGAAACAGCTACAGTACTGGATTTCAGAATCTTTCAGCAGACACACAGGTGTGATATTTAATAAGGCACAGGTTCATATTTGAACATTTGATTAACTATTGTAGCTTAGAGAATCATTCACTGGTGTTACAACGATGTCATTGTAACCCTTCATGTGATGGTCGTGGGTTGAAGTTACAAAGTGACCTCATGATACCAGAGGTCGATCATCACCACCATGTATTATGAGTCCCTGGTCATGCAGCACTGTTAGCTCTGTGTGAGCCCATTATATGTGCATGTAGTCCAGCTGGTAGTAGACAATAGGACCAAAGGCCTCCTGCTGCTCCGTAGATTGGCTCTGCTGATGTAAACAAAGCCTTGGGGCCTCTGGAAGACAACAGGCAGCGCTGCAACCATCACGCTGCTTTACGTCAGGCTGCAGGACAGTTTTAGTCAGCCACCTAATGACATCCAAATCTACACGCAAGCTCACGTACTCACCCCAAAAACTGGCTAAAGCATCAAACTCAGTGGTTGAATAAATACAAAGGCTTAAAGTTACACGCAGTTGGACACCTTTAGGCAGAAAGTGGTGATGTAAGTTTGAAGTGAAACACGTCGAAACACTTTTTAAGATTTAAATTGACTCATTAATAAGTCAGTAGAGACCAGATTAACCTGCTTAAACAGGTCAACACTGAAGGTCATTTTCTCTGCTCTCCCATGAGGACAGTACAGCAAGTTGTCTCCACTGGTAGAGCATCCTTCAAGGCACTTGATCCTATTCACTGCACTGAAAGGACAGGCGAAAGTGCTGGGAGGGCACCTTAAGATACATTGTGTTTCTAACCCTCCTCTATCGGGTTTACTCAGCTAGAAGAACACCCCGAGGGTAGTTTATCAAGTTCTGACTTCTTGCAGAGAAACTTAAAGAACACTTTATCACATTTTCTCCACAAGCATGGGACACCAAAAGGACAATACCTTCATCAAATTTTCTCCACCTGGAAGAAAACCTAAAGGCTATTTATTGACACTTGTTGATTAGATGGAAAGTATTGGAAAAGTGACTGTAAATACAGGGAGTGGGAGAGAGATGATAGCATGCAGGAAAGCTCCCTGACTTAAATGTTTTAGCCCTTTTTGTATGCCTGACCCTGCTGTGTTCATCCCATCGCAGATTAAGCGCCTGAAGGATCTGGAGAGGGAGAAGGACGCTCTGTGCTCTGGGCTGGAGATCCTGGAGAAGGCTCATGCCTGGTATCTGCAGCGCCTGGACGAGAACAGAGCCAGGCAGGATGACATCGAGACCGAGAGTGGGGCCGGGACCCATCAGGAGGGTGAAGCAGAGGTACTTGGACCTGGCAGGAGTATGGGGACTACATTGGTCCCTAAATGTGTCTCTAAAAAGCCTCCTCTCTGTCTCTCTCTACAGGCTCGGTCATGCTTCCTCAGGTCTTGTATTCAGCGGGTGAATGGCTCTCTTGGAACTGTGATGAGTGAACCTAATGTGACCAGCAGCAGCAGCAGCCTCTCTCTGCCTGAAGTAGTGGCAGACAGCGACCTCCGCTGGCACAACTCAGTACTGACTCAGGCAAGCGCAACACAAAATGTTATCAGAATCAGAAATACTTCATCAATATTCAATTATGACGATCTTTGTTGCCATTTTCTTAAGTTATTAGTGGCGATAGAAAGGGTGTATCAATTACATTTGTTCATTGTGTGTCCACACAAGCTTCATGCCACCCCTGCACAAGTCAGTGCCCCTGTTGGGCTAGTCAAAAAAAAGTCTTGACACACCCCTATTGTGGTGGAATGAAGCTTACACTGAATGTGCTCCTGTGCTTTACAAGCATGTCGTGGAATGGGTTGGCTACATGTCCAAGATGACATGTAGCTTGTACAACATCCCAATCTCAGAGAGTCCAGGTCGAGACGACCTCAGCCTCCTCAGGAAGTAGAGGCAGCTCAGGCCCTTCTCGTGGTCTTGGCCCAGTCCAGTTTATTGTCCAAGTACAGGACCCCCCTGTACAGACCCCCTGAATGGAAAGGGGTCTCTGGTGCCTTTGCCCTCCTCAGATCCACAATCAGTTCCTCTGTGTTTGTCACATTGGGCTGGACATGGTTCTTCTCACACCATCTGATAAAGTTGCCCACCACAGTCCTGTACTTGGCCTCGTAAACCCTTGCTGATACATCCAAATAAGAAAAAAACAAAACGAAGCAGCAGTAAATCTAATAGTAACAACAAAGAATACATTCATGGCTGCTTGCCTCTTCTAATTGAGTTTACAACTCTTCAACACACATTTGTTTTGTCATCTTCTGTGTCTACGATAAGGCAATGATCATTTTATGCCTCTTTTTTTTTCTTTGACAGGAAGTGAGCGACAAGAACCGTCGGATCGCCTTGTTGGAGCAGGAAAAAGATGCTCTCCTTGAACAGCTTGATGAATTACGGGCAAATTGATTGCATGTATTCAGGTACAGATGGACACATGGACATGTTGCTAATGTTATCCAATTTGTAAATATGTGTTTAGATAAATAAATTACTGTGAAACATGCATCATGTGCTTGCATTCTTTTTAATACTACAAACAAGTTTGGATTGAAGACTGACATGTTTATAATGAACCAGTAACTAATCACCAAAAAATCTAACATGCACTAACTCTCCATTGTGTATATTCCTTTAAATATCATGTGGATTCATTTTCATGTAAAAATTCAAAGAAAGTTTTTGGCAAATAATAAAAGAAGGTATTGGAGCTCAGACGGCCTAGTGGTTAGGTCGCACCCCTTTTGGGAGATTATAGCCCTCCGGGGGGCCTGGGTTCAAGTCCGGCCTGTGGCTTCTTTCCCATAAGTTACTTCCCACTCTATCTCCCCTGTTTCCTACTCTATCCAATGTCATTTACAATAAAGGCAAAAAGACCCAAAACCAGCTTTAAACATCTTAAATCTTTATTTTGTGTGGTTTAAAGAAAGAAATAGGAGCAATTGAAAGTCAAAGGATTGAAGAAATTTGAGAAAAAGTTGTAAAATTTGACATGAGCAGAAGACCATTTAAGCCATTATAATGAAAAAAAAAAAAAACATTTTTATGCTGTAAATGTCATTGTTTGGATTTTAGCACCAAATCAATGAAAGCATTATCACACCACACTTGAATCATCCCATCATGCTTTGTATCTCTGTCATATGATGTACCTAACAACATTTTTCAACATTGATGCTCCAAATATGCCTTTACAGTGAAAATAGTTTTGCATGACACCAAAGAAGGAGCATTGTTTCAACTTTAAAGACGTTTCCTTTCCCCTGCAGTGAGCAGATTACACTCCTGCATCATTGTGCATCCTGTTGCTGACCGTTGTTCCGTTTCCGTCTGTGAATGTGGGCTCTGTCTGTCTCAACACGTCCCAGCAGCCTCTCCTGGTGGTCCTGCACTGATCTGACTTCAGCCGATAAACCTTATCTTGCCAAGTCATCGTGCATGTTTGCAGGAAATATTCTTTCCCGTCTTGCACAAATATCCAGCTTTAGAACAGAGGGCAACATTAGCAGGATCATTACAGATTCAATCTCTTGCAAATCACAGATATCAATCTGAACCCATGCAAATATTCCCTCAACATCTTAAGATTATTTTTCCCAAAGTCAAAGCAGGGTTGAGTTTGAAAGGTTTCTGTGGGCGATGTGTGATTTCAGAAATGTATCTGATTGATCCAGATCATTCCATAAAGTTTTCTTCTGATTTCTGGAGTAAATCACGGCCCTGCATCAGCAGCAACTTTTCCAGTAAATCGAGGAATTCCTGCATGGAATCTCTGCAGGAATCTGATCAGAATCAGCCTGTGTGCACCAGGAAAGAAAACATCCATTATGGCGGATGCTTTCTTTTAAGTAGCTTCATGTTCTCTATCTTCAGAGAGCCACTGAACCATCAAGCCCCGGGTACCAGCACTTGGCTAATTATCGTCTCTAATTCACGAACTCCTCAGCCAAACACCTTCTGTTATGGTTATGTCATGCCTTTGTGGCAGTCAATGCTGTTCTTCCATACCTGCATGGTTCACTAACACTGCACTCTGCTGGTCTCCAAACTCCCTTTACTTGTATACAATGTCATGTTTTTTCCCCCTTCAATTTGTGGTTTTGGTATGACTGAATCTAAAAAAATGGCTGTTTCGTGCATTTCAGCAGAGGTTGAGAGTATCAACACACAAACAGGGTTGAAAGAGAGGGGGTTCTTTGGGGGGGGTTCCTGTTGAGGGGCTGAGGGTTCCCTGATAAATGCATTCCTTAAGCTATTATCAGAGAAAAGCTTTCCGAGGACCCTGAGACTGTACACTAAGTAGGCTAGGTGGTCTTTTAAGATCTCAGGTAACTCAAAACAATGATGGAGACTTTCTGTAGAATGGACACTTGTGGCTTAAGATGTAGTTGCTGTACCTTAGAGAGCAGTTAAGCTTTCTCCTTCTGTAACCATATTCTGAAGGCCATAAGAGAAATAAAAAAGAGGTTTCCTTTTCTGTCAGAATAAGTCTATCAACAAAGGACAATGTTCAAAAGAGTTTTTTTTAGGTTGATTTCAAAGCGATTAAATAAAAGTGTAATAAACTTTTTGTACGTCTCTTAACCAAGAGGGTTCAGACAGAGTTTTGGAGCTCTTGAAGTAAATGTTTGTGTGAGATAAGCACATGCAAATTACGCTACCATACCATACCATACAGTACAAAATGATGATACACTTTTTGTCCCCTTGGTTGAATTTGCCTTTGACAAATGTGCTGCACCCATTTCAAAATGTTATCTTTTTTCTTTATTGAAACCAGGAAAACTTGTTAGATTAGAAATCTCTGTTTAAAGAATGTCCTAGGCAAGACACGCAGCAGAGCTGAAAAGTATCATCATATGCTAAGTTACATTAGGACCATTCGCTGTTTATTTATTTGAGAAGAAATAATGCACATTTATTAATTTGGGAACTTAAGTCCTTCGTGGAGATAAGTTGACTTTAAGGCATAATACCATTAATAATGACAGAATAATATCAAGGCTCATATTATTCTGAGGCACTTGGATGATTCATGGCATGTAAGAAAATAAATGAAATCATAAAAGGGATAAATACACATGTATTAAAATGACAGGAATGGTGAACACTTACAAAAACAGTCCAGTAAACACTGTTTTGAACGAGAGGTTTAAAAGCAGGAAAAAGCACAACTGCACTTGTTATGGTATTTTACAGTAACCTTTTGTAAACGCTCTGGAGTGTGAGGTTAGATTATGTTAACAATAATAACATTTTATGTCCAGAGTTTCCAGAACAGAACCAATTTCAATATTTGTGTGCACAGAGAAGTGTCTAAGATTAGTAAACCTGGACTATTTCATTCGTGTTCAATTTTCAAGATGTTTAAAGCCTACCTTTGATGCACTGGGGATTATTTATGACTTAAAAAATAAATAATAGGACACACAAGTATATTGTACTTCTGCTATGATCTCTGCTAAAGTGGTCACCTCATCTGTTAGAGGCACACTTTGATTTACTTATAAAGCAACTTAATTACACATATATGTGGAAAGAGATTTGAAAATAAATGTTTCCCTACATTCATACAATGATTAAGACTGCTTTGTTGAACTCTTATTTTCTCATGAATATCAGAATCTTTAGTCAGAATATGAGACTTTTCCTTTCAATGCCAAAAACCTCTGCAACAGGCGGCAAAGCTTAACATTTTGTTCACATTCATTCAAGTTATACTTACAATATTTGGCCCTAATCTCCCTGTATGTAAACGAATTTTATGCACAATGTAAAGACTGGAAAAATAAGACATAGGAAATTGTTTTTTGTTGGGATTTGTTTTACTGTCTTCACAAATTAATTACAACCGATCACATAGAAAGAAAGAGAGACACACACACACACACACACACACACACACACACACACACACAGAGAGAGAGAGAGAGAGAGAGTCTGTCTTTTCCCCCGTTGACCCTGCAGGCCAACTTTGGGTTTTCAAACACTGCTGAACTCTGTCCTCTGCTGTGCGTAGTTACGCGCGCCTCCAGGTGGCAACTCCATCCCGGACACGTTTACGTCCAGCAGACTCTGCAGGTGTTTGATGTAGTCAATAGCCGCACGCAGTGTCTCCACTTTGCTGAGCCGTTTGTCCTCGAACTCGTGCGGCAGATGCTCTCTGAGCCGCGCGTAACCCTCGTTTACGCAGCGCACCCTGTGTCGCTCCCTTTCGTTCCTTTTCCGAATGAACGCGGGCTCGAAGGTATATTCACACACGCCCAGAGTTCCGTGAAAAGGGAAATATGATAATTGTCTGTAGGGTAACCTCTGGCTGTGCACACTGTCGAGGTATGCAGCGTCTAGGTGAAAGGGAAGTCCAACCCGGAGAGCATCCCTGTAGTGCGCTCCATCCATGTCCATAGAGAAGCTGTGGAGAGCCAGTGAGGGGACATAGGGAATGTTCTCCATAGACTCCTTTCTATTAATCAAATATGAGAAAATATAAGATAAAACAGCATTAAATATGCAATTATATTTACACTATAATCTATAAGCAACGCAACTTACCCTGTCAAATTCTCCTTACAATCATCTGCTGTTTTGAGCAACAGTTTCCTTTAAGTCCTCGCCACGTTGTGAATCAGTTTGGGACACTTCTTGATCGGGACTCTGTCTGTCTGTGTGATAACTTGCTTGTTGGCCCTTTGAGGCTGTAGAAGGCATAGTGGGTGTGATCTGGGGCGGAGATGGAGTCATAGTTTTCTTCATCAAGATAAAACTGTTTACATAACGCTTCCTTCCTTTTCTCATAATGAATAAGGCAAACATTTACAAGAATTTATACATTAATAGGCTTATTCAGTAATTTCTGACAGGATTTAGACACATATTTAGACACAGGATTTAGACCCTAACTCAAACCCCTAACAATCACATTCATTCATTACATCTTTCAACTGCCTGTTGTATTTAAAAATATAGGCAATGAAGTGTTACAATCAATATATCACAGCAAGCCTGACACATGGCTGTTTTTCTGCACCTGTGGGAGACATTAAATCATTCCCTAATCCACAGAGGTCATGCAGTGAAAGTTGGCTCCTATAGGCTACTGAAATAATTTACAGAAAGTAAACACCACGGTTTGGAGGCAGGCTATCTATATAGGTAGTCGTGCAAAGTTGTGTAATAAAACAAAAGATTTCATAACTTAATCACCGACAAATTGCTGATTTCATTTTTCTCTCAGGTACTCTGGAGAAAGGAAGAAGGAGAACTGACCTGTGATCAGCAAAAAAAAAAAAAAACACGTTCTCACAGCGCATGCGCATTCGAGGCAATTACTGTCATGGCCCCTTTCATCGAGGCATTGTGTTGGTATGTTGTTGTTTTCAATACATCTTGCTTTTCCAGTTAGGAACAATTATGCATTTAAAGCAACGCGGTCGTACTGCAGTGTGGCTATACTTTTAACTGGCTATATCACCCGAGAAATATGTTTTTGAACCGTATTTGCAGGAGTAAGCTGGTGAGGCTAATGTTAGCATCGTTACCAAAGTGGTGGATGCAAAAGCCAACTACTTTCGACATGTCAGTTTCAACGACGTGTTCACTGTTGTTTCACTATTTAAATTATAATTCAAATGGCAGTATGACTTGCACTTCGATGCTTTATGTTTCGTTTACAATTTTATTCAGCAGGAAGAGGATAATGAGAACCCCAACAGCAGTACACCATTACTGATGGATATCAGATGTTGAATTCAGGTAAGTTGTTGCTGCCTTTTATACAAGGCTTAAATTAATCCTATATTCAAGTGTTGTTGGTGAAAGCTACACCAAGATAAAGGAGGCATCATTTCCATCTGCTAGCTGTGTCTAAACAGCAGCAAACAACCAAAACAACAAGATCATTCTTGTTTTATTATTTAGCTTCTTAGCTCTTTGCTCAGTCCTAGTTTACTCTTTCATTTCATTTTTTTTTATTATTTGTTCCGTACATGTCAAAACACACAACAGAAAAAGAATTCACACTTTATCCCATGTACGGAAAGTAGCAGGGAGAAGAATAATTCTTGTTTTGCCTGCCCCCCCTTAATCAAAAAGCAAACAACAAATATCTGGATGGTTCAGTCCAATTACAATGAGTGAATATCATAACTTCAGTCTTCACTTCCTCAGAAAGTAGAAGGAAAACACACACAAAACACCACTTTCGTACCGTCTGATAACTGTGTTCTTGTACATTTTCTTCAACTGAAATATCTGAACACAACCCTTCAAGTCGTTATTTAAAGAATTCCACAATTTAATTCCAATGACAGAAATACACACCTCTGTTTTAAAGTTGTCTTCACAAACTGATGCTTGAAATGACATTTTTCTTCTTACGCTGTTCGTCTTCTGAGCTGAAAACAAACATCTTTTTGTAAACTTTCTGGTAATACTTTACTCTTTTGCTCTGAACATAACTACAAGTGTCTGTGACTCAACTAAATCTTTCAGTTTCAATAAACCTGATGTTGCTTTCCCCTAGGATGAATGAGATGAACCTGAGTCCTGTGGGCATGGACCAGCTCAGCGTGCCCTCAGTGAGTGCCAGCCACCTTGGTCTGCCAACGTCCCCCACACATAACCCCATCCCCACCTCAGGTAGGAAAGACAGACGCCCTGTGTTGTTTCAAGCTGAAAAATAAACTAGCGTCACATATTCACATGGTTTATACACATTCCATTTGTCTTAAGTATCCATGCTGAAATGTTGTTCAGGGATGCCAGTGGCCATCCCCAGCCTGGGTCCTTCCTTGGGCTCCCTTCCTTCTGCCCTCTCTCTGATGCTTCCCATGGGTCCACTGAGTGACAGAGGAGTGATGTGCGGCCTGCCAGAGAGGAACTACTCCTTGCCGCCCCCTCCATACCCGCACCTGGAGAGCAGCTACTTCAGACACATATTGCCAGGTGAAGTATTATTGGAGCTTGAAATGTATTATCTGGATTGAAATGTGTCAAGTAGTTGGGCATATTCTTGTACTGGTCCTTTTTTTTTTTTTTAAATAAAAATGAAGTTATAGAATAAATCATTAATGCTACTATTTTTTTTTTTTTTTAGCTATAATCTCCCCCTTTCTCTCCTGCTGTAGGTATTTTGTCCTATCTGGCAGACCGTCCACCACCTCAGTACATTCATCCCAGCAGCCTAAACATGGATGGGACTCTGTCTGTGGCCAGCAACAATCCCTCAGGTCTGGATCACTACAGTGGCCCTGGAGGCCCACTGGAGCAGGGCCTGGTACCCATGGACTCTAGACAGGTCAGCGGCCAGGGAGACCTCCACCAGACTGGTGCTCATGAGCTGGACTCTACAGGGTTGGCCATGGAGTCACGTGTCAGCAGCCCCATGTCTCCTGACCGTATGGGAGAGGAGTTGGCAAACATGGAAGGAGTTGGGGTGGTGTCTGTGTCTGACACCCAGCAGCAGCTCGGAGGAGGAAGGCAGCCTCAGCCGCATGAGGGTCTGACTGGGGTGGACTCATCTGGTGGGGTGATGCCCCTGCATGGACCCCCTGTGCTTGAACTACCGGTGGTGATGGAGTCGGATCATATGGGGGGCCGAGTGGGCAACGCTGGTGGTGGAGGAGGCGGCGGCGCAGGAGGACTTGGGGAGCAGCTCCATTCAAATGGGGAGCTGAACTCAGGGGTGGTGAGTGTTGTGCTCACTGGCTCCATGACCAGTCAGGGCCAGCTGGAGTCTGTGTCGCTCCACGGACACTCTGGGATGGGGCTGGAGGCCGTTAATGTTTCCCCCATCACTGCGGAGGTGTCGCTGGGTCCAGAAAACAACCTTGTGCTGGTAAACTCCACCCTGCAGCTCGAGGATTCTGCTGCCAACAAGGAGAACATGGTCACTGGCTTCACCATATGTAAGTGTGTCATTACAAACTATATTATTTACAAAAAAGTCAGAGACAGCGTTGGTAGAATTAAAGTTGGAGCATTTTAAAACAATTTTTTCTTCATGATACTGATTTCAAAATGAGTAGAATCCATTGCAAAGTACCTCTCTGGTATTAACAGTATGTCATAGATTGATGTGATATCAAATTAATACTACCACACTGACAGAAGCCTAACTCTGCTGCAAGTTTTTAATACCTCACCTTACACAGTATTTATTGTACTATCGGAGCATTCCCTACACTGGTATCATATTGGAACAACTTAAGTGTAATGAGCATGGTGTACAAAACATAATACTTTTAAACTGTTTACAAGCAATTCAAGTGACTCTCGCTCGTTTAAACTCTTGTGTTGTTCTTGTCCCACAGGGTGCACACTGTGTGAGCGCTCATATACCTCAGACTGCCCAGAGCACGGCCCAGTCACCTTCATCCTTGACACGCCCATTCAGAGCCGAGCCCGCCTCTCTCTGCCACGTGCACTGTGCCTGCGCATCTCAGTGGCTGATGAACCTTTGGGTAAGAGAATAAATCACCTTCAACAGGAAAAGGCTGTAGCTATTAGTGCACTATTCTGTGGTCAGATGTGATGACAGTATTTAGGATAACATCAAATGTTATTGTTAATATATTAGTAAGCACATTCTTAAAATAAATTCCTGCATTTATATAAAGAACCTAAAGAAACCTCCTTTGCATTGTGCAAATATTAGTTTTGGTCAAGTTTTATTAAGAGACTTTTTAAAATATTGCACAAGAATCACCCAAACATGATTATTTAGACAATAACAAAAGAAGAATTACCTTTTAGAATGTTAAGATCTCTTCTGAAAATAATTATGACGAAAGGTAGTGAATTGCCAAATGACTCATTATGTCACTGACTTAAGTGTGTTCATGCTCATTTCAGGAGTTTTTGCACGAGACGTTATTCCTCAAAGGACTGCTTTGGACCGATGGTGGGCCAGCACTGTAGCAACGTGGACCTCTCTGATTGGCCACAAAAGGAATCGCCACAAGTTTGGAAGGTCAGTGCAGCTGCTTTTTCGTCCGACTGTGGTTGTAACAGTACATGAAAAAAAAAATCTTAATAAGAAGGACCCATTTCTCTCTTTCAGATGTACCACAACAACGTGCTGGAATTCTACATTGTCACAACAGATGAGAATGAGTGCAACTGGATGATGTTTGTGTGCAAAGCCAGGTATGACAGATCCTACGGGTTTATCCTCAGGATTCTCAGATTACAGCGATAGGGGGGTAAAAAAAAAAAAAACATCCCTAAAGAATAAAAAATATGTTATGTTTGCGTGTCTAGGACGCGTGAGGAGCAGAACCTGGTGGCGTACCCTGCCAACGGTAAACTGTTCTTCTGTACAACCAGAGAGATCCATCCAGACCAGGAGCTGCTCTTCTACTACAGCAGAGACTACTGCAGGCTGCTAGGTGAGATGAGACAAAGAAGATTAAACCTGCACAGTTTTCAGCTACCAGAGCATGTGTTTATTCCTGACACGGTTATCCGTTAATAAATGTTCCATCATCCTTAATGTCTCTTCAGGTGTTCCTCAGGTACCCGAGGGCCACATCTGCCAATGCGGCAAAGAGTGCTCCTCCTTCTCCGAGCTCAAGTCTCATTTGAGCAGCCATAACGCCAACCACAGCCAAAACCAACCTCCACACAGCCACAGCCCATCACAGCAGGACCATTCTCAACAACAACAACAACAACAACAACAACAACAACAACAACAACAACCACCACAGCAGCAGCAACAAGAGCAGCAACCACAGCAACACACTCACCAGGAAGAGAAGCTGACCAACGGGACGTCCAGCTCCTCCTCGTCCCCATGGCCCTGTCACGCCCACGCTGCCGGACAAACAAACGGTGAAAACGGCAGCAGCAGGGGCGACGGTAACCGGAACTCTGATAATGTTACATCCAGAGCGAAAGGTCAGGGTCATGTCCGGGAAAAGAAATTCAAATGCAGCATGTGCTCCCGAGCTTTTACCACTTCCACTAAGCTCAACGTGCACTTCATGGGGCACGTCGGGATGAAACCACACAAGTGTGAATACTGCAGTAAGGCCTTCAGCGATCCCAGCAACCTCAGGATGCACCTCAAGATCCACACAGGTGTGTACATGAAGAATTGAAGTATAAACATTTGTTGTTTTTTTAAAAGATGTTACGCCCACCCAAGTAGCATCATTATCTCCCAACAAGCTACATATAGAATTCAATAATATATATATTAGTGAGTTGTCTATATTAGTGAGTTGTCATGTTGCCTCAGAGTAAAAAAATTACAATTTCAAAGACCCTTTAAAACCTCTTACAGAAATAAATAGACCTTTTTAGAAATTGAGAAGTTTGATGATGCTCATTAAATCTTTTCTTCAAGGCATTTTTTCTAACCAGCTGCAGGCTGTGGCTTCATATTCAATTCATCATCTTTATTGACAGACTCAGGAGTCCATTAAAAAAAGATCAAAACAAACAAGATAGAAATTGACTGTGTTGAGAGCACGATCAATCTTTTCGTTCAACTCGTGTCAAGATTTAGTAGAAGAGTTGTTCCCAATATGTCACACTTCTGTTGAAAACATTTTTCAGCTTTTGAAATACTGATTTTTTTTTTTCTCCCCCCCAACAGGTCAGAAGAACTACAGATGTACGGTTTGCGAGAAGTCCTTTACTCAGAAAGCTCATGTGGCATCACATATGCTCATCCACACCAGTGCAGAGAAGCACGAGTGTGACCTCTGTGACCGCGCATTCATCAGGAAACACGACCTGAAACAACACATGTTCTCTCACACACAGTATGTAACATTATGTTTTCTTTGTAAAACAGTTCCTTGCATTGGCAAACTAATGGATGTGATTTTAAGCATTTCTGCTTCTGTGTTGATCTCAACATAATTACCTGATTAAATAAACCTTATCTCATGTTCATTTCATACTATCTCCCCTTTTCACCACAGTGAACGCCGGATACAGTGCCCAAAGTGCCACAAACATTTCCTCAAGACCAACCACTTGAAAAAACACATGAACTCTCACGAGGGCCGCAGAGACTTTGTCTGCGAGAAATGCCACAAAGCATTCCTCACCAAATACCACCTCACCCGTCACCTTAAGATATGTAAAGGTCCAAAGGCAGAGAGAGCGTCTCGTAAAGAGCAGGACGAAGAGGAGGAGGAGGAAGAAGAGGAAGAGGAGGAGGAGGAGGAAGATGAGGAGGATGGAAGGGGAAGAGGAGGAGAGAGACTTGTTGACTCGAACAGCAATGATGAGTGTGGTTTAGATGTTGGAGGATATAACTCTGAAAAGTCCCTGTCACCCCCGCATTGACAACACCGTGCCTCTTGTGATGTCGTGTGTATTTATTTACTTCAATAAAAGATTGACATTTACCTCCAGGTTCTGCCAAATCACAGTGACTTTACTCTGACTTCAAAATGCATTTTAAAAAATCCTGTATATAACATGTTTAGTCTCACATTATAACTTATAATTGCTGCTAAAACAAATTTTGCAAACCTATAAATATCTGACTGTATTTCTATAAAACTTTTTTTTTTCTATTTAACTCAGGAACTTGTAATATTGGTTTCATATTACTTATCTTACATTTGTTATTCTTTTAGCTGACTCACTAACATGGGCTGAATGACTAAGATTCATTTGTAATTGCAATAAAATGTCAGTTAAAATTTCTGATGCCATTTACTAAAATTTTAGTCCTGATATGTGATCGCTTATTGCCTCTGCCTATGTGTTTATTTAATTTATTGAAAGCAGAATTACATTCCTTTTCGAGTCAAACTTTCTGTGTGAATGGAAGCCAGCCACTTGAAATCAGCAATGTGGCCACTGATGTGATGCTCCTCATTGTATGAGTGTTGTTTTACGTTAATATGTATTAGCTTTGTCTGATCTGTTGCATAGAACTTTACTAAATAAACATTTACATTTCTTCTAGATTGTCTGATATGATATACAGCAAGAGCCCATTCCATTGTAGATTTGCTATCATATTTTTCTTGTTATTTATTTTACTGTTTTTTTGTTCATTCAACTAAACAGTGCAAAATCCAATGCTAAAAAAGGAGAAGCAGCGCCCCCAGCTGGCCGTGCAAATTTGCCAGTTGCACGAAAAAATCGAGCCGTGCAAATTTGCCAGTTGCACGAAAAAATCGAGTCATATGAGATTTTTGTCACTTAAAGCACAATGTGATAATTTTTTACTACAAAAAACATAATTGAATCGTTTAGAAATCAACTAATAAAATGCTCTACTTAAAAAAAAACGACGATATTAATTAATTTAAGAACTGGTAAGTAGATTATTTTTGTAACATTATTACAATTGTATACAGACTTTTTTTTTTCTTTTCTATTTTCTATATATGTGTAAATTAATTCAGAGACTGTGATTTAAATTGACAGCTTTGCTCTGCTCTCCGACCGGAAAAGAGAGCAACAACTTCCGGTGAAAATACAAACTATGCAGCGCCGCGGTAGTCATTCACTCTAGCGTGGTATGAAACATCTATAATTCCTAGTCGTAGTTTTTTTTTTTTTTTTTTTTATCGTCGTGTCGATGTGTTTTAATATTATTTTTATGAGATTATGTGCACCGTGGCATGAATTTGACTCTGAAACCAATCACATTTTGAACTGTTCAAAACGCATGCTAGTTAACTTTAGCTACCCTGCTATCTGTGCTCAGTCTGTGGTGCTGTACCCACTAGCCGTGAGTCAAGCACACTTGTTGTGCCTCCTAACTTAATAGGAAACACATTGCTCGTGTTAGTTATATCTCTCAGGTTGTGTGTTTATCTAGCCTTGAGTGAAGCTCACCGCATTGTCACTTGTGTTCTTGTCTCAGCCTGGACCTGGTCTGAAACAATGATGACCCCGTCGACGGAGGGGAAGCCCAGCATGATAGACCGAGCTCTGAGGATGAGGAGGGAGGAACAGGCTCGGCAGGTGGTCCTTGCCTGGGCTGTGCTCAACGTGTCTTTGGCTGGCATGATTTACACTGAAATGTACGTTGATCCGAGTGCATGTTCTGTTGTAATCATTGGAAATCATAATGTTAATGTTGACCCTTTCATCTGCAAACCTTTCCACGACTGAGAGTGCTGTGATATCTGTTGTCTTTGCATGTTCTGTTAGGTCAGGAAAACTGCTGAGTCGATACTACAACATCACATACTGGCCTATCTGGTACATCGGTGAGGTCCAAGTTTTCACTATCTGAGAATGTTTGACTGATTATAATGTAACCCTGGGGTTTAATTTAACACCCGAGTGTGTGTTATTCATACTAGGAGACCGTTTACGCTAAGTGTGTCCTTCCCATTTGTGCTTTTCTACAGAACTGGTGCTTGCCTCCCTCTTTAGCCTCAATGCTCTGTTCGACTTCTGGAAATATTTCAAGTACACAATGGCTCCCTCCACCATTGCTGTGTCGCCCGAGCAGCATCGTCTCCTAGGTCTGAGAAACACCATAATTCAGGCCTCTCCTCCCCAAAAGCCGGAGAAAAAGGAGACTCCAGCTCCAGCCCAGTCGTCTCCTCTTCAGGGCCAAAGTGTGCTGAGTTTCAGCCCATCGAGACCCGCCACCACCAGCCCCAAATTCTCCCCAAGTTGCGTTCCAGGGTACAGCCCTCCTCTCAGCAACCCGACCACACCGAGCAGTGCAGGGGGACACTTTTCTCCCTCAGTGGCCTTTGGAAAAGTACATTCATCATATTTACTGATATTTGTCTAAAGAAAAAACACCAGGCTTAAGTACTTACTACAAGATTTTGAATGACATCACATTGAGTTCATTGTGCCCTTCTCTTCTCAGGTGTTGAACTACAGTCCCTCCCCAGGCTCTTCTCCTTATCCCAGTAGCATTGGACCAGCAGAAGGCTCCAGCTTGAGGGCTCGATATCGGACGTCCCCCTCAGTTTTTAATTCCCCCGGCAGCAAGGAGGACTACATGGAGGATCTGAAAAGCCTGGAGAGGTTTCTCCGCACAGAGGAGGAAAAGAGCCACCGCAGCCAGATGGGTACATTTCTATTTGATTGTATATTAGGGACAGGCATATGTAGGCCAACATTTCCTTTTAATAGATCTATGGAATGACCCCCTTTACTTATAATGATACACTTGTGCACTCCTTAGGGAGTCCAGAGGCCGTGTCACCAAATCACAGTCCAACATTTTGGAACTACAACCGCTCAGTGGGAGATTACGCCCAGAGTCTGAGGAAGTTCTTGTACCAGCCTGCCTGCCGTTCCCAGGCGCCATCTGCCCACAAGGATGAGACGGACCTGGGCTCCAAACAGGCTGCAGAGGAGGTCTGTACATTTTTACTTTTAAAACGACATTAAATGATTTGTTGTTGTTCCCTCATAATGTTAGAGTAGAAACTATGACTTGTATGTATTTCACTTCTTCCCTTCCTGGAACGTAGGTGTGGGCCAGAATCACAACCAGCCGCCCTGTAGTGGACCGCATTGACAGCTGGACAGCCAAGCTGAGAAATGTGAGTGTTCGAACATATGAACTACATACTAAAGAAACCGTATTTGTGTTTTTTTTTTTGTTGTTGTTTAAAGGAATTCCATGCCCCAAAAACTTCTGACTTAATTTGATTTGAGCAATCAAACAAATCTGTTTGTGTCTTTTGCAGTGGATCAGTGACACCATCTTGGTCTCCCTGGTTAAGGAAATAGATTCTGTCAACAGCCAGCTCAGGAGGATGGGATGCCCTGAGCTCCAGATAGGAGGTAAACCATCAACGGAGAACATTAATCCTGGAAAATAGGATTTGTCCTCACATGGTGGCTGAGTTCTCTGAAAATACCTTTAAGTGCAGGCTTCATACAGACCAGCGACCACTCCATTTACAGTTATGATATTGAAATCATCACTGAAAATATGATTTTATACTTTGACACTAATATTGTTTAAATGCCATTGAACTTGTAACATAAAAAAAATGTTCCACAGAATTTGAGGAAGCAGCTGCTACTCAGCTGTAGTAAGAATTGCACTTTTTTAGGAACTAATGGGTTTTATGCGATTTGTAGTCCTCAAAAGAGCTTAAACATTTTAGTTTCTAGAGGAACACGCATTATGGGAAAGTCTTTTCAGGTTACAGCAGCAAAGTAGATTTAAATCCAGGATTAAAAATTGGCTACAGAAACTTTCATGAAGCTGCATTAGAATGATATAAATGAGAGTAATCGTTACTGTGATTTCAAATCATTTTTCTTCTAATTTTGGAGTTTTGTTTTTTTCACTCTTTCCTCCACCAGAGGCCAGCATAAGCAGCTTGAAGCAGGCAGCCATAATGAAAGCCTCATCGATCCCCACCATGAACTCTATTGTTCAGTATCTGGACATCACTCCCAACCAGGAATATCTAGTGGACAGAGTAAAAGGTAGGGTCAACAATATAATATGTGTGTCTGACATTTGTCGACCACTATTGTGATAATGTGTCTTAAAATTTGTGTCTTAAATGTTATAGAAAACAAAACAAAAAAATCCTGACAAACCACAGACGTTTCTTATGCGGTGTGTTTTGAACATTGTTTTGTGTATTCTGTCAGAGTTGGCCCACAGCGGCTGCATGAGCTCCTTTCGCTGGAATGGCGGTGGTGATGTGAAAAACAGGAAGTGGGACACAGACCTCCCCACTGACTGCGCTGTGAGTCTGCACACACACACACACACACACACACACACACACACACACACACACACACACGTTGTCTGTGTCCATGTTTGGTCTTTAATCTTGTTGTGGCTGCAACAAGCGATTATTGTAATCTACCGATACGTTCTCGATTAATCCTTCAGTCTGCAAAATGTCAGCGAGTTTTTGAACATGTGGATATTACATGTTTATAGTGTCTGTCAAGTCCTGATGGTCTGTTAGCTGTATGTATGCTTAAAAAAAAGTCTATAGTTTTAAAAACAGAACTGTGGCTCTTTTAATGGCAATCAAATGGTCTTGGGAGGAACAATTCAAAACGAATCAGGCCCAATCCAGAAATGGTATACTGAACCAGGTCAGTTTTCAAAACAACCAACACCATTTTCAGTTCTATGATTGTACACCACACCATATCACATTTAACAAAGGAGCTATTTATGGCTGGCAGGCAATACATCATGCTTCTGAAACGCTCTGCATGGGGTTATAAGATGCATCTAGGGTGAAGCAAACTGTGAGACATGTGCCTTGTGGAATCCCAAAAGATTGGCTCGAACTGTCTCAGGAGCTTCTTGTAGTGCGAGTCTTGTTTTGCTTCTCTGTAGCTATTCGTGTTTTTGGATCCAGCACCCACTTAAGGGATCTTAGTGTCTTTTTTGAGTGTCCTTGTGGAATCCTGGACATGCCCCCCCCCCCCCCGGCAAGACAAGTTCTAGATTGCAATAAGAATAAGGAAATAAATTAAACTGGGCTCCTTAGGTTGAAACTAGGTAGCATGAAAACTTATATATTATTTCATATAAGAAATTCAGTTTACAGGCAACCTAAGTTTATATTTGAACATGGCGTCTTCAGGGTCTGTGCTGCAAACATTTTACAAAAGTTTGGCTGGTTTTCTTTTGTCACAGTTGGACCACAAGCCATATACCTCAGCTTAATACTTTATCTGTCCTTCTAGATCCTCATGCATGTGTTATGTACATACCTGGACTCCAGACTGCCCCCACACCCGAAGTACCCAGATGGAAAGACTTTCACTTCCCAGCACTTCAGCCACACACCAGACAAACCTGGTAAGTGCAGAGAACACACACACACACACACACACACACACTGTGGCTTAATTAAGAAGGAATTTTAATGAAAGTCTTCTGATTTCCACTTTCTCTCATTCTTGGAACACATCCGCTCTCTATCCTTCATCCATTCACTCTTCTTCTTTTTTTGTGTTTACTGTTCTAGATGTAACCAAGGAGA